AGCTAGATGAAGCCATACAGAAGGCACCATGTGTAGGTTTGGCTGTGGATGAGTCCACCGACGTGTGTGATAATGCTCAGCTGTTGGTTTATGTGAGGTTTTATTACGCAGAGCAGAAAGCATTCTATGAAGACCTGCTGGGTATTACTCCTCTTCAGACCAGCACAACAGGAGAGGACATCTACCTGGCCATTATGGAGATGTTGGCAAAGAGAGGAATTAAGCCTTCAAAAGTGATTTCAATAACTACAGATGGAGCCCCTGCTATGATAGGGAGAGAAAAGGGAGCTGTAACAAGAATGAAGAAAGACAACCCTGACCTCTTAACCTACCATTGCATTATTCATCAATCTGTCCTCTGTGCCTCCCTGTCAGATGAGCATGCTGAGGTGATGACTTCAGTGATGAAAATGATCAACTTTCTTAGAGCGTCCTCTTCCTACCAGCATCGCATGCTTAGAGAATTCCTCAAAGAAGTTGATGCCAATGCTGATGATCTTCTGCTGCACAACAATGTGAGATGGCTCAGCAAAGGCAGAGTTTTAGCACGCTTTTGGGCCATCAGGAGGGAAGTAGCATCTGTTTTGGCAGAGCTAAAACATCATAAGGCAACACAGTTTTCTACATTTCTAGAAAATGAGAAGCAGATGGACAATGTTGCCTTTTTGGTTGATATAACTTCACATCTAAACGAACTGAACTTGAGGCTACAGGGCAAGGACAATTCCATTTGTGAACTAATGACAGCTGTCCGTGCCTTTCAGAGAAAACTTGAAATGTTCAAGGACTTGCAGGAAGACTGTGTCCACTTCCCAGCAGTGCAGGAACAGGTTCAGGGACAGCGAGATGTCTCGTCGTTTGTTGACTTCATTGATAAGCTTATTGCTAACTTCAGCAATCGTTTTGATAGCTTCAGCATTGGCCAGCAGCTCACCATGTTCATTCAGAACCCATTCCTCATCACAGATGTCAGGAGCTTCTCAAAGGAAGCCACACAGCATTTTTAATGGGTCAATGCCAGGGATCTTCAGATGGAGTTAGTTGACCTCCAAGCAAACTTGGCCATGAATGAACTGTCTGCCAGGACTGACCCGTCCTCATTCTGGCTCCAAATGGTTCCTGAGACAGCTTTCTCAAGTCTAAAGAAAGTAGCCCTGTACATCCTGACCATGTTTGGTTCCACCCACAACTGTGAGGCAGTGTTCTCCACAATGAACATTATAAAAAACAAATATCGGTCCAGGCTCACCAATGAGCATCTCCACACATGCATGAGGATGGCTCTGTCTCCATTCAAGCCCAGGTTCAAAATGTTGGCAGGACAAGCAAGAGCTCACTTCTCTCACTAAGTAAAAATGTGGAAAACATTAACCTAAATATATGTTCAGTTATTACATGTGTGCTGAGTCACATTTTTTAAAATCATTTCAAGACTTTTTAGTTCGCACGTGAAGAGGAAAAATGTAAAAAATTAAGCTTTTTCTACATTTATTCTGAAGTTAGTAGTTTGTGAAGATTCAGTTGCCATGCGTTATTTTCTTGTTGACACTTTTTTCTACTTTTATTTAGTAAATGAGAGAATATTCCAAATAAATCATTTACATGTTCAACACTTTAAGTGACAATAAATGTCATAAGTATTTGAATTACACTGAAGTATTTCTGATTTGATATGCAAATTAATAATGCAGATGTTGATAAAACTGCTAGGATACTTAAATACATGTCACACTATTGTAGGTCGGACATAATGATCTTTCGGACCTCGGGCTAAAAAATTCTTTCTGACTGGACCTTTTTAAATAGTATTTGTATACCCCTGTCCTAGACCGTCAGAGGGGGCGTAACACTCCCTAATGCAAATTCTTCTTCCTCAGTAAGTGAGGCAGCATCAGAGGTAACTGTAGAACCTCATCTGTGTTTGAACTGTTTTGATTCATTTGGATTTTCAGAGTTATAAAAAAATATGACCTTCACCTAAACCTTCAACTTGTATTTTAGACCCAATCCCAACCAAATGCTAAATATGCTTCTCCTTTGGTTGCTGCCACTATTTTAGATGTTTATGTTTATTTATTTGGAAGACGCTTTTATCCAAAGCGACTTACAATTTATAACCTATAGGGCATGTTGTGATCTGTGGGGGAAACCGGAGTACCCAGAGGAAACCCACGCATGAATGGGGAGAATACGCAACTCCACTCAGAAAGGCCACAGCCGAGTTTTGAACCTGCAACCTTCGTGCTGCGAGGCAACAGTGCTAACAACTGCGCCACCATGCAGCCCAAATAAATACAAATGAAATTCTCGTGGCCTCAGATAAGATTCTTGTGTCTGTTCTAGGAACAGCGCTAGGCTGGTTTAAATCCCATCTGTCTGACAGATTTCATGTATGTTTAATGTACATGATAAATATTCTACATACTCTAGGGTTACTTGGGAGTACCACAGGGTTCAAAAAAAAATATATATATATATATATATATATATATATATATATATATATCTCAGAGTTATAAAAAATATGACCTTCACCTAAACCTTCAACTTGTATTTTAGACCCAATCCCAACCAAATGCTAAATATGATATATATATATATATATATATATATATATATATATATGCTTCCAATTGGTGAAATTATTAGACCGCATTGGATAAACTTCTACTGTTATGCTGACGACACTCAGTTATATTTATCCACTAACCCCGATGAATCTCATCAGTTAGGCAGATTACAGGCTTGTCTTGAAAACATAAGCAATTGGATGACTAAACTTTCTACTTTCAAATCAAGACGTGGCTGAAGTTATCATCTTTAGCACAGAACTTCAAAAAAATTACCCGCTTAGCCTCCGAGAACAAAGTAATGAACCTTGGTGTTATCTTTGGCCAGGATGTCATTAAAACCCCAGGTTAAACAGGTTTGTTGGATTTCTTCTTTCCACCTTCGGAATATTGCTAAGATTAGAATCATCCTTTCCAGGAGTGAAGCTGAAAAACTAGTTCATGCATTTATTACATCAAGACTGGATTACTGTATTGATTACTATCAGGAAGTCCAAATAAGTAGATTAACATCTTCAGCTTGTCCAGAATGCTGCAGCTAGAATTAAAAATACTGAGAATTTTTAAAAAGAAATCTCCTGTCTTAGCTTCCCTACATTGGCTGCCTGCTAAATTCAGAATAGATTTTAAGATCCTCCTTCTCACATATAAAGCTCTTAATAATCAAGAACCATCATTCATCAGTGACCTGATTATTCATATGTTCCCAACAGAGCACTTCACTCTGAGACTGCAGGTTTACTGGTGGTTCCTAGAATATCTAAAAATAGGACGGGAGATAGATCTTATAGCTATCAGGCTCTTCTCTTCTGGAACCAGCTCCTAACTTAAGTCTGTGAGGCAGACACCTTGTCTCTTTTTATTTGAAAGGGCCTACGGCTAAAATCTGATATTTACCTAGACCTGGACAAGTGGGGGAGTAGAGGGAGGTGGAATGTACATCAAGGAATGTGTGTGTGTGTGTGGGGGGGGGGGGGGGGTATGTGGAGGTGTGTGAGTATTGGTGTGTGGAGGTAGGTGAAGATGTGTGTGTCAGTCTGCTCTGTCTTCTCCATCCCCAATGAGTCGTGGTGGATCGCTGCTTATACTGAGCCAGGATCCTCTGGAGGTTTCTTCCTGTTAAAAGGGAGTTTTCCTCTCCACTGTTGCTGCACGCTTGCTTAGTATGAGGATTGCTGTAAATACTCTGACACTAGACAATGACTCGATGCAGTTTGCTAGGTTCTTTATTTAGGAAACTTTTCACTGATTGGCAAGTTCCAAAGGTCTCCTGCAGACGCCAGGCAAACTCCCAGAAGGACACCGATCCGGACAGACATAATGAGATGTAGTCCATGGCCCACACCAGGGCGCTACCACCCAGATTAGATACCATAAATGAGACTTTGTCATGCTCCGAGGAAGCCGGGTCCAAATAACGAGCGCAGGCTTCGTTATAAGTCCGGCAAGTTTCTGGGTCTCCACAGTATCTGTAGTGGAGAGTTGTTGGTGTAGTCCAGGATTCTGCTGGATCCATGACAGGTCAGATGAAAAGTTGGAAAAAAAAAACTCCCAAGTACTGTGTTGGCGTCGGGTCTAATTTTTGGCCAGTATATAAAGTAAAGTAAAGTAATTTTAGAGTAATTAGTTTAATTTATGTATTTATGTTCTTTTAATCTATTTTTATTGTTATGTTATTGTTCTAATTAACTCTTAGTCTGTCCTTTCTTCTGATTTCCATTTACCGTATTTTCCGGACTATAAGCTGCTACCTTTTTCCCACGCTTTGAACCATGCGGCTTTACTGAAGATTTTCCTTCACCTGCCAAGGGGTGCTTTAGCAGAAAGTGTAAGAGGTGGAAGTCAAAAGTGGAAATGGAAGAACTGAACTCGGAAGACCCGTGATGGCGCCAAACACAGTGAGTTAAATAAAAAGTCTTTATTAGGAGTGGAGTTACCAGAGGTGGGCGAGGCTGAGGCAGGGGGGTTCAGCAAATAGGGTTTGTCCTGGAAAAGTAAAAATAACACCAGACCCTCTTGGTGTTTTGGAACCTTTCTCCAGATTATTTATGTTGTTATACTGACTCAAAAATATCCTCTAGCTTCATAGTTCCAGGCCAGGCATGTCCAAAGTGCGGCTCGGGGGACATTTGCGGCCGTCATAGGGACTATGGCCCCCAATTGCATTTGTAGAATGATTAGTTTGTTTTTTCAGCCGGTTGTCTTGTCGTTATTATACGTTATATAAATAAACTGATTTGAATGATGGTTTGTTCTCCAAGCTGTATTGCAAAAATTCGAATGTGTGAAACCAACTGTTTCAGAAAATCTCAGAGAGGTTGTTTGTTGTATAAGAATTCCAGTTCACTAATTTTGAGCTCCTCTTAGGTGTCAATGTTTTTATAAATGATCCACAGTAGATATCCTTAAAACAAAAATTGCTGTTCTTACCTGTTAACAACTCTTTGTTCAGATTGGCTCGGTCTACAGACAGGATGTACTGAAAGGAGAACATTCAGTAAAATTGGCTAATTTCTAAAACAGAAGTTATTGACAGTTGGAATAGATGATTTTGTTCCATTAATTTATTTATATTGAGTACCTTCATATAACCCAAAATGCTGCACACTAAAACATAAGAAAGGTAGAAGAATAAGAAATATTTTATATAGCACCTATCAGGATTAAAATTACAAGACACTTCATAAGAACAATTACACCTTTTTTTATGATTTTAAAAAGGTCATAATGAGAGAAAATGAAAAATTAGGAATAAAAATGAATAAAAATGAAATAAGTAAATACAGAAGCCCAAAATGTACAGAACAGACAGAAAAGCAAATGGAATGCACATCTTTAATTCAATTCTGTGTTGGTCATCCACTTTCATTATTTGGTTCTTTTTTGAACACATTAATAGAGATTTGTTATTTACCTTTTTGCTAACAAGTTTCAGCTACATCTGTAGCCTTCATCAGATCGTTGCCAATGTTGGTGGCATCACTACAGAAGATGGATTAAGGAAGTGATTGAAATAAGGAGACATTAGCCCAGGACAAATAACAAGAATGAAGGACTGTACACACTGGACCATTCATGGGGCATGGTCATCAGGAGTGCGGGCACTATTCAGGAGGTAAACAGAGACAGAAGTGACACCACAAAGGCAATGCCCTGATGAAGGCTACAGATGTATATTACTCTGTGTTCAGAAAAGAACCAAATAATGGTGATGGAATGCACATAAATTTTCAAATTAATCAAACAGCCAAATTGGAGCACCCTGAAACCTCTAAACTCACTAAAAGGTGGTGGAGGACAAATTTGTCAGATTTTAAAAAAAGTCTCTGAAATGCAAATACACAATAGTAATTTCACCATTGTTGACCAGAATTTTTTCTGCAATTTGCAATGCAATATGTGCAGTTTGGAATTCTTGGATATTTTGGTTTAATCCAACCACAATGATCCCTTAACAAGATTATGATCCTCTGCATGGCAACACCAAAAATACAACTGTTTCAAGAACAAATTCCATTTATATTTAATTTATATTTATTTAATAATCATTTTAAAGCACTGTTATTATATCTGACGGTTTTTAACAGCAATCCTAGCTCAGACACCACATCACTTTCCACATGTATGTCATGAGCTCACTGAGCATCAGATTACCAGATTCATATTGAAGTTGTCTTGGTGAAAGTAACTTAAAGTAATGCAAAAGTAGTGTAATGCCTTACATTTTATAATCAGTAATATTATAATGTAATGAATTACTTTAAAATGAGGGTAACAAGTAATAAATAATGCATTACAGTTTTGAAGTAACTTGCCCAACACTGTAGTTTACACACAGTCTAACTTCTATGACTGACCTGGCCTTTCGTCCCGTACGGGAGCTGGGATTGTCTCCCGCTCGGTGAATGGATCATTCTTGCATGCATGGGAATCCCCTTAGAGACAATCTGGGAAAAACAAATGGGTACAAATGTGTAACTTTTATAAGTGGTTATTTTTAATAAATTGACAATAAAATATATAAGCTATTCAATAAAACATACTATTCCATAAAAATTATGGATTATCAATAATATTGGACCTTTAATATTTGATTGATATAAATAGGTAATTGGGTAATGCCAGGGAATCAACATTTAATTTGACACAGAGGCAAAAATATAGTTTATAAAAATGAATGCATTTCTATATTTCTACTACTAATGATGATGATGCATGACTGGTAAAAGAGATACTTTCTGATGAGTTGTCTTGCATATTAAACAAATAATTGGTTCATTCTGAAAAGGATGGTTCTTTTTTTTTCTTGTATCATTTATTTTATCTGTATATTATTTTCTTTTAAAATGAACTTTGTCTGGCAATAAACATACATACATACACACACACACACACACACATATATATATATATATATATATATATATATGTATGTATATGCCGCTAAAATTATTCCACTGAAAAATCTGGCTTGATTTCCCATAGGATGGTAATTTATCAAAAGCTGAAAGCTTTGCAGGAACTGGGTGAGCTGGAAGTTTTAGCTGAAACTGGGGATCTGAAGTTAACTTTTAGCATGCAGGCCCAACCTACTTCTTCATATGCGTAAATATGACACTGTGGTGCCAATACAGTGAGATGAACTGATGTGCCACCTCATACCCATCTGGTCTCCAAACCAGAAAAGCACTGCTCAAGTTACCAAAGAAAGGAGCCATAATAAAGTCTCCTAGCTCCCTTAGCTGGAAAGCCAAGGTCTCGTGCAGAAGACGAGACTTACTCTCTGATTAAAGCTTATCTTTCTTGACATAAATTACTTTAAAACTCCATATAATCATATTCTGTTGGATGAACAATTTGTTTCAATCCAAAGTATTTGATTAATGTTTCCTATACTTTGCAATGTGGGTTAAAATGAATATTTTTTCTGTAATGATTCATTTCAGATCTTACACCAAATCAGTAATTGTTGATTCTAGTAATTTCATATATCAGTATTGTAGCGGGCCAGGGCTGTTCGGGGTTTGATCTGTTATTGCAGTTATGTGTTTGTTGTCATGTTGCTATGGTGACGGGTGACGCGCTCTCTCGGCGAATGTTTTTCCGGTGAGAGCGCGCCTTTTTTTGTTGTTGTTGCTGTGTCCGCGCTGAGGTGTGTAGATTAAACGGGTGCTCCCAAAGAAACCTCTGTCTCCTCCGTGACTGAGCTTGCCACATTGGTGTCAGAAGTGGGATACTCACCCTCGCCGTAATGGAGAGAGACATTCGGAGGCTGGAGCAAGCTATTGAGGAAAACATTACCCGTCTGGAAAGCTGGCGATTGAAGAGAGAAGACATGAGCGGCCGTGTAAGCTCCCTGGTGGGTCCCGATGGCGCGAGCGCACCGAGACGGCGGCCCGCCGCGACCGACACTAGGGCAATGCGTGATGGGCTGCCTCCGTCGGCCGACACACCGGGCCCCGACAGCGAGCAGTGGTGCCTGCAACGCCAGCTAAAGTACCGAAGTATAACGGGCTAACCCCGCTAGAGCCCTACCTCTCACAAGTATGGCTAGCCGCGAGACATAATGGCTGGAGTGACGGCGAGGCTGCTACACACCTAGCGCTAGCATTGGAAGGAGATGCACTGCAGGTACTCCTCGACCTAGCCGCGTCAGAGCAGCATGAGCTCCAGGCCCTCACCACAGCACTCGAGAGACGATTTGGGCAGCGGCTCTCCACTGATCAGAGCAGGGAGAAGCTGACCAACCGGAGCCGTAGGCCGGGGGAGAGCCTGGGCAACTTTGCAGCGGACGTGTTGCTGTATGCTCGTCGTGGCTACCCAGAGTTCCCAGCAGCAGCCCGGGAGGAGCTTAGCCTGCATGCTTTCCTGCGAGGACTTTTCCCAGAGCGACTGCGCCAACACGTCCGCCTGGCCATGCCTCAGACTCTCAGTGAGGCGCTCCTTCAGGCTGAAAGGGCTGAGCTGGTGCTCGCCTCTCTACCCCACCAGCAGGTGCCCTCCCCAAGCTACCCTCAAATCAGAGCCGCAGACTGCGACGAGGAGGGGGCGGTCGCAGAGATATGTCAGCTGCAGCCCTCGGTGCCTCGGAGGCGTCCTCGTCGTCCCACTGACCGCTGTTACCGGTGCGATGAGCCTGGCCACGTGGCGCATGACTGCCCGGCACCTGCCCCATCGGTCAGAACTCCAGGGACTCCGGGAAACGGGGTGGGAGCGGTGTAGTGAGGGGACCACCGCCCCAGCTTCCTGCCCCCCTCCAAGGACGATGCACAGTGGTGGGCCGGGTTGGGCACCTCAAGGGACTCTACCTGAGCTGCTGCATTGAGGGCCAGCCATGCCAGGTCATGGTGGACACGGGGTCTACCATCTCCCTGATACGACCTGGCGTGCTCCCTGGAACATCCGGGTTGTTGGTGGAGGGTTGGACGCCTACCGACACCCAGCTGATGACTGTGACGGGGGAGAGAACTGATATGCAGGGGAAGAAACTTTTGCAGATCCGAGTGAGGGATTTGGAGCTGATTCACAACTTCTGGCTGGCTGACATTCAAGACCAGTGCATCATCGGCCTTGATCTGCTGACCCGCTGGGGGGCCTGCATTGACACCGCAAAGCGGGCTCTCACTCTTGGAACAGAGACTCTCACCCTCCAGTGCGGGCAAAAGCAGGGAGCGGAGGGGACCAGAGACAGACGTCAGGCAGCTGCCGCTCAGCAGATTTCGGGTGCCAGTGGGTCCGGGTAATCTGTACTCACCGCAACCCCGGCCCCTCAGCCCAACAAATCTCCCTCGACCGAAACAGCCGAGGCTGTTGGTGACCTGTGGCAGCGCAGCAGCGTGGGTCTCAACGGTGATCAGCACCAGCGGTTGAGGTGCCTCCTGGATGAGAATGTGGACATCTTTGCCGCCAGTGATAAAGACTGCAGGCAGACAGGGCTGGTCCAGCACACTATTGACACCGGCTCTGCCCAACCTATCCGTCTACGCCCGCACCGGCTGCCCCTCTCAAAAAAGGCAGGTGGCGGAGGAAAAGATCCGTGAGATGGCTGCGGCTGGGGTGATCGAGCCGTCCAACAGCCCATGGGCGGCACCCGTGGTCCTGGTGGGGAAGAAGGATGGCAGCCCGAGGTTCTGTGTGGACTTTCGCCGTCTCAATGCAGTCACCAAGAAGGACTCATACCCGCTTCCGCGGATCGACGAAGCCCTGGATTATGTCTGCGGCTCCAGCTGGTTCAGCTCCCTCGACCTGCGCAGTGGTTAATGGCAGGTGGAGCTAGCCCCCGAAGCAAGGCCTAAGACTGCATTCACCATTGGCCAGGGGCTGTGGCAGTTCAGGGTCATGCCCTTTGGGCTCTGCAATGCACCAGCGACGTTTGAGGGGCTGATGGAGAGGGTGCTCGTGAACATCCCTCGTAGCCGCTGTGTTGTGTACCTGGATGACCTGTTGGTACACGGTAGCGACTTCGACAGTGCACTGTCCCACCTGAGCGAGGTCTTCGGTGCCATCCGTCGAGCCGGGCTGCAGCTCAACCCTGCGAAGTGCCGGCTGTTGACGAGAGAGACTACATTCTTAGGCCGTGTAATCAGCGCGCAGGGTATCGCCACCGATCCCGCTAAGGTGGCGGCGGTCCGGGATTGGCCGACCCCCTCGAACGTCAAAGAACTGCGGAGCTTCCTGGACCTAGCCTCTTACTACCGTCGGTTCATTAAGGGGTTCGCAACAACAGCCAGCCCCCTCCACCGCTTAACCGACAAGGGCCAGCCATTTGGCTGGAGTGATGCCTGCGCTGCGGCTTTCGCACAGCTGAAAGAGGCCCTCACCAGAGCCCCAGTCCTGGCCTACCCCGACGCCCGGCAACACTTCATTGTGGACACTGACGCTAGCAATGTAGGAGTTGGGGCGGTCCTTTCTCAGCAGGGCGATGCTGGAGAACGAGTGGTGGCATACTTCAGCCGAGCGCTGGGGCGAGCCGAGAGGAACTACTGCGTGACCCGGCGGGAGCTGCTGGCCGTGGTACTAGCAGTGCGGCACTTCCGGCCATATCTGCATGGCTGCCGGTTCCTCCTGCGCACTGACCATGCATCTCTGACTTGGTTCCTGAACTTCAAACACCCAGAGGGTCAGGTGGCCCGCTGGCTGGAGGTCCTTCAGGGTTACGACTTTGAGATCCAACATCGGGCAGGTCGACAGCATGGCAACGCTGATGCCCTCTCCAGAAGGCCCTGCATGGCCGTCGAGTGCCGCTACTGTCTGCGACAGGAGGAGCGGGTCCAGGAGGCGCTGGGTGTGGCTGCTGCTCAGGCCACAGCCAGCAGAGGGGGGTGGCTCCCATTGGCCCCACAGCAGCTGAAGAGGGAACAGGAGGCTTATGCGACGTTGGTGCAGGTGGGGGCCTGGCTGGAGGCGGCGCAACACCCCGACTGGGGGGGGGTGTCGGGACAGGAGCCCGAAGTGAAGGCCTATTACTCCGAGTACAACAACCTGGAGACCCACGACGGCCTCCTGTACCGGAGATGGCGGGCCCCCGGGCAGGGCAGAGATCTCCTGCAGCTGTTGGTGCCTCGGTCGTTGCGGTCGCAGGTGCTCGAGCTCGTCCACGGCTCGGTGGGGGCCGGCCACTATGGGAATGCCAAAACTCTCCGCCGTCTCAGAGGACGGTTCTACTGGCCTGGCTGTCGACGGGATGTGGAGCTTCATGTGCACTGTTGTGACACCTGCACGGCACAGAAAGGCCCAACTCAGCGCTCGACTGCCCCTCTTCAACAGTACCTGGTGGGGGCCCCGATGAAGTGAGTGGGTGTGGACGTCCTAGGGCCTTTCCCTATTACGGAGTCAGGGAACCGGTACGTGTTGGTGGCCATGGATTATTTCACAAAGTGGCCGGAGGCCTACGCTGTGCCGGACCAGAGTGCGTCGACGACGGCGGAGAAGCTGGTGGAGGAGATGT